CCGAGCCAGGTGCTGCCAGAGGGGCCCGCCGGCCCCCGCTACCCCGCACCGCAGCGGCCGCTCAGCAGCTCGGCCTCGGACATGTCGCTGCAAGCCGAGGAGCCCTGGGAGCCTGGCCGGGGCATCAAGAAGAGGAACTCGATGCCGCGGCTGCGGGACGCCTACGAGAAGGAGGCGGCGCGGGAGGCCTTCGCGGCGAGGAAGACGGCGGACAGCAGCGTGCAGACGGACGAGGAGGACGGCGAGGAGCGGTACCTGCTTTCGCGGCGGCGGCGGGCGCGGCGCAGTGCCGACTGCAGCGTGCAGACGGACGAGGAGGACAGCGGGGAGTGGGAGCAGCCCGTGCGCCGCCGGCGCTCCCGGCCCTCGCGGCATGCCGAGGCCGGCGCCGAGGGCAAGCCGGAGGGGACGGCCCGCGGCACGGCCAGCGTGGGCATCCAGACCATCAGCGACTGCTCGGTGCAGACGGAGCCTGACCAGCTCATCCGCGTCTCCCCCTCCATCCACATCACCACCCACGATCCCCGGGTGGAGATCGTGAAGTACATCTCGGCCCCGGAGAAGACGCAGCGGGGCGAGAGCCTGGCCTGCCAGACAGAGCCGGAGCCAGCCCCCCAGCCTGGCGTTGTGGTCCCCCAGCTGACAGTGCCCACCACCATCCCACCCTACTCCACCAACATCCAGATGGTGAGCACGGGCCCCCTGGACCCCCACGCTGTCCGGCAGCAGACCCTGGGCAAATTCGAGAAGAAAAAGCCAGATCCCCTGGAAATCGGCTACCAGTCCCATCTGCCGGCCGAGTCCCTCTCCCAGCTGGTGACCCGCCAGCCGCCCCGCTCTCCCCAGGTCCTCTACTCACCCGTCTCCCCCCTGTCCCCCCACCGCCTCCTCGAGTCCTCCTTCGCCACCAGCGAGCGGCTGAACAAGGCTCACGTCCCCCCACAGAAGCACTTCGCCGACTCGGCCCAGCGCCAGCAGACGCTGCCGCGGCCCATCAAGACCATGCAGCGCTCCCTCTCCGACCCCAAGCCCATCAGCCCCACCGCCGAGGAGGCCGGCAAGGACAGGTTCTCCCTCTACCAGCACCCACTGCTCCCCGGCACCCAGGTACGTCAGCGCGGGGAACAACCTTTTTCTCAGGGAACAGCTCCGGGAGGCACGGCGGGACATTTCGGTTTCATTAGCGCTGCGGCAATTAATATTTTAAAAGGCCGGCTTCCTGCTCCAGCTGATGGCAGCTGGTGGGCACGGACGCGTGCGCCGGAGCCGGCAGCCCGAGGGAGGCCCTGGAGCTCCACCGGCTGCACGAGCCCGTCAGCGGGCAGGAGCTGCTGCTGGGTGGCAGGATCAGGGCTGTCCCCTGTCCCCTGCCCCAGCCGGGTCCCCCTCCTCTCCTGCACGGAGCAGCCACCATGTGCAGCTCCGTTTTGGGTTTCGGTGGCTCTCGCTCCCGCTTTTGCCCCCACGGACCGAGGTTGCCAAGTGCCCAGCAAAGAGCCTCGGGGCAATTCCCAGGGCGGCAGCAGCCCCCAGCCGCTCCCCTGAGCCCCGCTGCCAAGCGCCCGAGGACGGAAAGCAGTTTTTGCGGCAGGCAGCGGCACACACGCGGCCAGCCCGGCGCTTGGCCGGCTGCCACCCCCGGTAATTACTCACGGAAAGCTCCCTGCCTGTTACTTCCATCCTATTTATTGCGCTTTTACATAAAAGCTGCTTCCTCGGTGTGTGGGGGTACACGTGCACGGCAGGCCGCCTCGCTGCAACCCCGGGGCACGGGAGGAGCTCCATGGTGCTCGGGGTGGGGGGACATGGGGGGAACACCCATTCGCACACCTGACCAGGTGTCCCTTGGCTTTGCAGGTCGGGGGGCTGCAGTCGAGCCCGCTGGCGCGCAAGGTGAAGCGGACGCTGCCCAGCCCGCCGCCCGAGGAGCCCCACGTCCCCCTGGCCAGCCCGGCCACCCCCCAGCTCTACCTGAGCAGCCTGGCCCCCAAGGCCACCGCACCGGTCACCAAGGCCAGCCTGCTGAAGGAGCTGGATCGTGACCTGAGGCTGGTGGAGCACGAGGCCACCAAGCTGCGGAAGAAGCAAGCGGAGCTGGACGAGGAGGAGAAGGAGATCGATGCCAAGCTGAAGTACCTGGAGCTGGGCATCACCCAGCGCAAGGAGTCACTGCTGAAGGAGCGGGGGGGCGGGCGGGACCACCCCTACCTGCGCTGCGCCGGGGACCGCCGTGACTACCTGTCCGACAGCGAGCTGCACAGCCTGCACCTCGCTGCCTACGACGGTGCCAGCCTGCGCCCCACGCCCGCGGGGCAGTACCCTGACTTCACCGCCACCGCCGCCTCCTATGGCACCTACCCATACCCCGCCCCGCAGGGCCCCACCGCATTCCCACCAGCGCGCCTGCAGCCCCCCCAGTACCCTGCAGCCAGCACCTCGCAGGACGGCTTGCCGGCAGCCCCGCTGCCCGCCTTCGCCTCGCCCGGCGCCTTCCCGGCCCCTGGTGCCACATACCCGGAGCTGGGCACCCCAGGCCAGCCGGGCTTCCGGCCCCAAAACCCCTACCAAGCTCCGAGCGCCTTTGCTGGGGCGGCCGCTGTGCCGGTAGCACAGCCTGCCCTCTTCCAGAGCCCGGCGGACATAGCCGGTGGGCACCAGAAGCCACGGCAGACCTCGCTGGCTGACCTGGAGCAGAAGATCCCCACCAACTACGAGGTCATTGGTGCGGCCACCAGCTCCTCTGCCATTCCCGATGTCGCCTTCAGCACCACGCCGGCGAGCGGCAGCTATGAGCAGTACAAGGCACCTGAGGCCCGGCCAGCCGAGAGAGCCAGCGCGGTGCAGGGCCCCTCGGCCAGCTTCTCTTCCGAGTCCCTCTACACCAGCCTGGAGCAGAACATCCCCCGTAACTATGTGATGATCGAGGACATCAGCGAGCTCACCAAGGAAAGCCCTGCGGTGGAGGGGCAGAAAGCAGAGCCGGCGGGCACGGGCACTGACAGCCGCCACAGCAGAGAGAAGAGCGAGCTGGGGGACGCCGAGGGCTCCAGCCGGCCCTGCTGCTACACCAAAGCTGAGGAGGAGTCCGAGGAGGATGTCTACGACCACCATGGCCCTGACCATCGAGGGAAGAACAGCTACCACCGGGGTGCAGAGAGCAATGGCAGGGTGTTGGGGAGCTCCACCAGCTCGTCCTACTACTACGGGGACAGCGAGTACCGGCACTCCTCGCGAGTGGACAAGCACGGCTCTGGCGCGGCACTACCGAAGCATTCGTCCAAGAACCTGGCGCCCGCCGTCGTCTCCTCGAAGCGCAGCAAGCACAGGAAGCAGGGCATGGAGCAGAAGATCTCTAAGTTCTCCCCCATTGAAGAAGCCAAAGATGTGGAGTCGGACCTGGCCTCCTACGCAGCGACAACCTCGGTCGGCAGCAGCAACGTGGCCTCGAGGGCCAAGAAGCTGCAGGAGGAGATCACCTACGGCCTGAAGAAGAACGTCTATGAGCAGCAGAAGTACTACGGCGTCTCCAGCCGGGATCTGGTGGACGAAGAGGAGCGGGTCTACTCTGCCGGCAGCAGAACCCGCTCCTCCGGCTACGGGGTGGAAAAGTCCTCCAGCCGGGAGGCGGGTGGACGGAGCAAGTCCTACGAGCGGGAGGGTGCGGAGCGCTCCCAGAAAGGCAGCTCCAAGCCGTCATCCCTCAGCATGAGCCAGAGCCGTGGGCGGGCGCCCATCCGCACGCAGCCCTCAGAGGAGGAGAGCCCCGTCAGCCCCCTGGGGAAGGCAGTGGGGGGGTCACGTGTCACGGGGGGGCCCGGCCCCCAGTCGGCGGGGGACCCCTGCTCCCAGTTCTGCTCCAGCCACTCATTGCCTGATGTGCAAAAGCACATCAAAGACGTGCCAAGGAGTCACTCGTACAAGCACGAGGAGGGCTACGGCATGGACGATGCCCATTGCGTTGTCTCGGACAGCGAAGGTAACGGCTCCCCATGGTGACCACCCCAGAGCATGGCGCTTCCCCGGGGCATGCCCGTCCGCTCGTACGCAGAGACACTCTCACCGCCTCAGTTTGCTTGACACGTGCCTTCCTCCCCCCGCCCCGGTTGTTCGGTGTTAGCCGGTCCCACGCGGTGCCCCACCGCGCCCTGCCGCGCCGCGTCCCGTCCCCACCGGCACGGGCTGTCCCCCACGCGCGTGTCCGCTGCTTGCCTCTCCCACCTCATTGCATGGCTTCCACCCGGGCGGCCTTGAGCGAGAGATTGACTGTGGTTTGTTTTTGGTTTCCGAAGCCTATCATTTGGGTCAGGAGGAGACAGACTGGTTTGATAAGCCCAGGGAGGCACGGGCGGAGAGGGTCAGGCACTACGGTGGCCACTCTTCCTCGCAGAAGAGACCCGCGGTTAAGCACACCTACCACGACTACGATGAGCCCCCTGACGAGGACCTGTGGCAGCACGATGACTACCCCCAGCACCGCGAGCACCGGCACCACGGGGAGTACGGGCGCCACACCGGCACCTCCCGGCACACCAGCGACGAGCCCCCCCGCCGCTCGGCCAAGCAGCACCCACGAGAGCCCAGCCGCCACGAGCCCCGCGGCCACGGGCCGTCGGCCGCCCCCAAGAAGGTGCAGCAGCCTGAGCCCCGCACGCCTGCAACCTACGGCCCCGGCTCTGCCGAGTACGCCCCGCCATCCCGCCCTGCCGCTCACCACCACGGCGCTGAGACCCCCAAGGCACAGAAGCCTCCCCAGCCACACGGGTTGGCCACCCCAGCACCGAAGCCAGAGCCCCTTGCGCATCCACAGCAGCCAGCGGCAAGGCAGCAGCAGGCAGGGCAGCAGGCGGCGCGGCAGCAGCCAGCGGGGCGGGAGGGGGCGGCCACGGCGG